GAGCACTTTGACACCCTCGGTAGCGCTCTTGATGTGCTTCTCCTCCATGCCCTGAACAATGGTGCTGAGATGGCCTCGTCGTGAAGTGTCGTCGAAAATCTTGAGCTTGTTGCCCTCGTCGGATGAAAGCAGATCGCGGAGTTCTTCATTGTAAAGTTCAATAAAGGAGCACTTGATGGTACTCTCGGCGTTCTCAAGCTCGAGCTTGTTGAACAGTGTCTGTAGGACTCGAGGAATGATACCAGCTTCGTCTGAGAGCATACCCAGGGTGTCGGTCATGTCACCAGACATGGTATATGTCTTTCCTGTACCTGTCTGTCCATAGGCAAAGATGGTGCAGTTATATCCGGAGAGCATCTAAGACAGTTAGTAACTAGATTTGTGTCCCGTATGCTCTTTCAACCCACCTCGTCCAGAATTGGCTTTACTGTATCATCAAAAACCATGTTTTGATCCGCCGCCTGGGAAAAGACGCGATCAAAATTATATGAGCGGTTGCTCAAGGCATTGGAGCCCATTGACAACTCGACAATCTTTCCCTTGACCGCATCTGCCGTAACAACAACGTTGCTGTTCTCGCGGACCTCACGCTCGTTGCGTCCGCGACATCGCACAACGACCTGGATATTTGTCTCCTCGGCGCTAGACTCGGCCTCAAAGTCACGCTCCTTGCGCTTAGTTCCGATGGTATTAACAGTGTTTACTGAAGCGATAGATCCAGTCGGTGATACGGCGCCGTTGCGCGTCGCGAGCGATGAGCCATATCGTGTCGGTGGTGCTCTTGACCCAGCTCTTACACTGGAGCGGCTGCTGTTGGCGGTGGCAGCGCGCACGCCTGGAGCCATGGCGATGCGGCTGTGCTCCCGATCGGAGCGGGTTGGGCGTGGAGGAGCCACGATGGGCAACTTTTTGTGGTTTCTATCGAGTTGACTCTGGTGTTGAAGGCTGTAGAAGAAGCCTCGAGGATGCTTCAGACGCTGCACATTCGCTTGATCGAGTATGAAACTAAAGGAGCAAAAATGTTTGAAACTTGTAGAACCTCGAATACGTTGACATTACAAGGAGGGGATGCCTGCATATAGTTTTGGTTATGATCGCGGCAGGGCTGTTTGACATAAAGTAAATAGTACAACTCTGTTGAACCATGTTTAGGTGGAACGGGCTAGGGTCAACACAAGCTAGGGCGTTCGTTGCCACGACAACCAGCCACCTCTAGCTCACCCGCTGCCTATCCTGGTCTACACTCAATGGAACTCTCACTAAAAGCGGTGAAAGTCATGTTACGATAGGTCATTATTTCATGTCTTGGGTGCGAGTATCATGATCTCCGCTGTCATCATGAGACACTTTGATTAGGTCCTCAGTGATTCAAGGTCAAACATAAACGGCATTACATTCCCGTATGGGGATAAATGCTCAAGTACGCCTTCTATGTAATACAAAAAATTAATCAAAACTCCAGGATTTGTAGATTCGTCTCATCATGAAGCGCTCTGTGAGGCTGATAGATTGCTATTCGGTATCCATCTTGTTGTCGTCGGCTTCTGACTTCGTCTCGCTCGCTGGAGCTTTGGCTTCCTCTCCCTTTTTCTCTTCCTCCTTCACATCAGAAGCCACTGTATCAGCTTTCTTGTCGTCCTCGGCTTCTTCTTCTTCCTTTAGCTTCTTGTGGGTTTCGCTTTCAAGGTCTTCGTCTGCCTCCCGTTTGGAGCCTACGCTCTCTGCGCCGGGGCTCTTGGCTTCACTCTCGCTTTCAGCATCTCCATCAGCGTCTACATCGACCTTGCCCTCCTCGTCATCGTCATGTTTCCTGCCAACTGCCGCCTCAACATCGATCCCTTGCATTCCCATGCTACCTTCTGACATGAAACTCGTAGTTGTAGATTGAGGTCCGGTGTCGCTCATGCCGATCTCTTCTGGCCCTCTGGCATGGGGTATCTCGTCTTCTTCCTCATGTGGCTCTTCGTCCTCTTCCTCGTCCATCGTCATACGTTCTCCTTCATGAACCACTTCTTGGGCTCTTGACAGTTGGCTCACGGGGACCACGCCGGCTCTTTGCTCTTGGCGTAAGAGTTCTCCTTGTGTGACCCCTCGTGCATGCCCCGTAGATGGAATTCCGTTGACGCTGACTGAAACTGTCTCGATGCTTCCCACTCCATTGGGGCCCTCGATAGTCTCTGTGCTTTCACTGTGAATTTGAGCTCCCGGGGTGTCCTGTGAACTCTCCGGGCTGCGCCTCGTCAACCAAGGAATAGGCGTTAGCAGTGCTCCTCCCAGCGCTTCATCTGTGCCCAATGCTGCCGTTGTAGGGTTGCTCCATGAGACTGACACTGCTGGATCCTTGGGGTCCTCGCCATTCAAATGCATCGAAGACATGTCAGGAATAGGCGGTGGCAGGGGATATGTCTTCGTGCTCGATGTCACCTGGACTACGCGATCAACGGCATGTAGATAAGGCGCTACTGCTCTATAATGCGCTCTGGGTCGTAAGATCAGCTCGGCAAGGCGCTGAATGGTGTGTGGGGGGTGTGTCTCAAAGGTCTCGAGATGTTTGGTGATGTCAATGACCATATCGGCCAGTTGCTTGGGTAGCGCACCATCGATGACTTGTGTAGCTGGAAGCGACTCGGTTGCAGCAGTTTCCTTGTTCGTTTCTTGAGACGATTCGGCTTGTGGTGACGCGGGCGCAGATGCTCGCACCTCGACAGGAGGCTGGTGAGCCGGTGGTGGAGGCGGTAGTTTAGGGATGGGGAATTCGTTGTGCGCAATCTGAAGCGGTCAGTCTCTAGGTCGAATCAATCGCAAAGCGACAGGTGGTAGTACCTTGTCAAGTCTGGCAATTATGTCACTGCGCACAGTAGGCCAGGCGTCCCTATTGCAGTCAGGTTTTCATGTCCACATACGTGCATCCAGGTCTTTGAACTTACTTTTCCACAGTAGCGCCCGAGGCGAAAAGAGTGAGAGGTCCATTATCGCTATCGACCTCCATGTTATAAGTTGCGATAGAAATGTTAATGTGCGATGGTGTTGATCACCAAGTCGCGATCGGTCGCGATGCTTTGGTCAGTGGTGGGGTTGTAGATATGGGGGCATCTGTCCCGTTAGATGCATGTAAACTTAACCTACACCACACTGGCTAGGTACCTTAACTTAAGGTAGGTAACAGGGAACTACTTCGATCTACAGGTCTGTGAAGATCACGTCGATAACCAATTCAAAAGAAGATGCTAATAGTGTGTGTTGATATTTTTGCTTTGGCAAGACAAGTTTGTGGTTGAAGGCATATAACATTCCACCTCAGGCGCACTTTCATTCAAGGACCTGGTTTATCCATAACTACCATCGACACAACAGTACCATGAAGGGAAGTGTTGAGGTGAAACGAATTATCTTTTTATGGGCTCATCAATAAACACAACATCTCGTTTACTGAATACCATTAAGAATCTATCTATTATAACCTCAAAACCCAACGGAGAATACATCTTGGCCATAACCAGCCCGTTCTACGTTTAGAACTGGAACGGGTTATACAACCACTTTGACGGCTCAAACATTGCCTCAAACTTAATCCCATCATACGTTCCAATAGCACAACTTAGATCATGGAAACCCTCCAATCCCGTAACCGGTAGATCTTGCTCAGCATCAGTCTCCTCATGGAGCGCCCACCCACCCGTCATCGTACCGTTGCGCGTAAAGAAGATATCGACCTGCGGCTTAGGTCCACCAACAGAACGCAATGTCATGCCAATACCGTAAGTCTCTCCGCGCTTGAAAGGCTGAGTGAAATCGCGGCCACCCCAGCGATCGTTGACGTATTTGTGTCCGTCGTCACCATGTACCGCTAGACTTCCGCGATGCCAGCCTGGCATGCGGAATGAAGGATAGGGTAGCGCGGTGAAACCCAGGGCGATGAATACCTCAGGGCTGTCGCGCGCAAGCTTAACTTCGTAGTAGATAGTCTTGGGCTGGCCGAGGCGAACAGGGTCATGCTCAGTTACTGAGTAGAGAGGTGGGTAACCAATAATGCAACGGTCAGGTGAGTTCTTCTTACTCCAACCTTGCCAATGTCCTGGTTCCATCCAAGTGAGCTTACCACTGAAGCCCACGGGCTCCATGAGGCGAATGTTGCCTGCCTGGAGAGCTGTCTTTCCAGTCTGGTCCAAGTTAATGGGTGCTGTCAACGGATACGACTGGCACCAATCCTCGCCAGCATTGGCCTCTTCCTCAGTAGCATTGCTGGTAGGAGACCTATCGTAGCCGCTGAAGATAGCGGGTGGTGGTGGGAACAGTGAAGTATCCGGCACTGCCACTTCCCAGTCATGCTTGGGCGGAGGTCCAGATGGTGGCGCGTAGTCTCCTCGGCCTGGTGGAGGCCCTAGAGGTGCAGAGTATGGAGGTGCATCATACTGCGCTGCGGCCTTGCCCGGCGGTGGTCCTAGAGGAGCAGAATATTGCTGCGATGAAGATTGACCAGGTGGTGGTCCCGGAGGTGGTGCAAAATCCGAGGCCTGTTTTCTGTCTGGGGGAGGTCCTGGGGGCGCAGAATAGCTAGACTCTCCAGCATATTGATTTGGGTCATTTTGAGGGTTGTATTTGCTCTTCTTTACATCTCCTTGACTCTGAGAAGATGCCGGCCTCTGCGCGGGACGAGGCGCAGGGTCATTATTCGCCTCTTTCTTGCTTCCAAAACACATGGCGATGATGATGATGTTGTTGAAATTAGGTATAGGACCTCAAGCTACATATGACGATGTTAAGCAGGGATTCAAAAGTGGGCACCTGCAACCACATATAAGCTTAAATCAAGCAGGATTCACGGTTGAATAGCAAAAAATTACCCAAGAACGGTTATTGGTGAGCAATTGAGGGTTTAAGAAGGACGTCTATATATGTTTCCTTTGGTCTTTTGGCCTCCTTTGTTGACATCATGTTGGTTTAAAGTAGTGGCTGTGCCGCTTAATTTCCACAAACACCACGCCGCTTTGAGCTTACACAGCCCCTTCTGGTATCACGAGGCAGAAAGCTGAATTACGATACGCCAATACGCAGGGCATGATAAGTCAATGAATTGTATTGGGTTAGGCCACTATAGGTATTACTGTTGCTTCTTTAAAAATAAAAAAAAAAAAAAAACAAGTTGGGTTATCTTGTCAATTTGAGTTATTCTTTTCCCTTTGTAAGTTGTTAACTACTGGGCATCTCAGCCCATGATGTTGTTACTACTCCGATATTTGATGTGAGAAAGCCCCATCCTCAGCCCTCACCGACCGAGTTTCTATGACGCAGACTAACTACCTCCACCCCACTCGCTGGCTTCCTGTTCATTGGGATAGAAGAAGGCTACAACAGCAATGATGATGTACACCGCACAGAGCAGAGCACCTTCAAGGTAATTGCTTCTTCCGTCCAGGACGAGGAAGTTGACAATAAACGCCGAAACGAACAGACAGACAGTCTCAAATAGTGTAAAGTAAAGAGACATATCTTTGTCCATGATCCATGCGAGAATAACCATGACGGGAGTAAGGAGTAGAGCAATTTGGATGGAGCTGCCTACAGCGACACCGATCGCGAGATCCATGTGGTTTTTGTATGCGACCTTGATGGCCGTGACATGTTCAGCGGCGTTGCCAACAATAGGGAGAATGATGAGACCAATTCCGACCTCGTTGACACCAGAAGACTCAACGACCTCTCGAATAGAACCAACCAGAAGTTCAGCGCAAACTGCAACCAAGGCTGTGGAGACGAGGAGAAGAATGATGGCACCACTCTGGGTGAGGTGGTCTTCTTCGTTCTCCTGTTCCTTGGCGATCATTTGAGCACCAGGGGCAGTCAAGATTGGAGGAACAGAAGAGGGCAACATGGCGCCTGGAGCTCGAAACTGGAGACGGTCCGGGAGAGAATTTGTACGTCTGATTCCATAGCGAACGTGAGGGACAGGGGTAGATGCCACCGTCGACTGTTCAGTGAAAACAGGGGCGATGTTTTTGACAGACAATCCTCGCAGGGGGAATGGCCGTTTGCCAGTGTTTGAGGGGCCAGCCTCAAGGTCATCCTGAACGGCGAAGTCCACACGTCGAGGTTCACATTCGCTATTGTTCTGCGGAGCATTTTCGGGCAGCTCATTCTGTGCCTCAGTAACGCCTGCGGCCTTCTTGGCATCACGGGCTTGCTTTTTGCTCTTGCGGTGCCTGTGTCGGCGATATCGACGGCGTCGACGTGAACGCTTTGCCTCTTCTTCATCCTCTTCTTCAATGGCACTCTCACTACCCTCGTAAGATGGGAAGCGAGGAATACGATGACGCGAAGCGGTTGCCTCAGAGACCTCATCCTGTGGGGTGGTGTTTGTCGTTGTGAACGAGGCACTGCGGGTTCCTTTGGTATCAGCGGTATCAACTGAAGCAGTGCTAGATCTCCTATGCCGCCTATTTCGCAGAACCTTTTTCATTTTCTTTCGCATTGTACCATGAGATGAGTCAGAGTCAGATGAATCGGAACTTGAGGATGAGCTGTCGTCAGAGCTGGAAGAATCCAGAAGGCCGGCAGCGGGTCCAGGGGCCAACTCAGCATCAATGATATGCTGAGGAGTCGACTCATACATGTAAGCATGAGATTTCAGCTGGAACATGAGATAGATGACGTATACAAGCAGAAGGACCTATGTTTATTAGCATATTGAAAAAAATCGTGTACAAACCTGAGACTTACGATGCTCGTTCCACGGCTGATTTTGAGGGATTGCCGGTCAGCGAGATCATTATCTCGGAAGGAAGCATGAAAGGCTGTCTTTTAAATGGTCAGTACGTGTATAGATATAAGCTGTTTGTAACATACCGGCAGAACAAGACTGATAACACTCAAACTGAGCAAACAAGCACTCATTTGAGTGACAGTACTGTTATAGACTTGCTCTCTGAAGCGCAAACCACCAAGAAGCATGCTCATACCTAAAATTAAACTGTTATTATTTGGAGTTGAAAGGCTGGGCAACCTCTGGAACGGTTGACAGCAAAGGGGAGGGAGGGTACCTAAGATAAGCAATAAATTCGATAAGATTGAACCTAATAGAGATGCCTGGACAATGCGAATTTCGTCTTTCGTTAAGGCTGAGATGAAGATAATGAGTTCCACGGCGTTGCCTATAATAAACATGCGGATTAGACTCTGTGTGGTGTTGTGTTGTGGGTAGACTTACCAAAAGTGACATTCAGCAACGCGCCGAGAGCATCACCCATCTTTCGGGCAACAGACTCGGTAGCATAAGCTAAGAGACCAGCAAGAGGAATAATGGCAACTGCATTGAGACCAAAAACAATACCTCCATTGATGTCATCTACCTGGGATACTGCAATACCAACAGGGACGAAGATGAGGAGGATGTTGAGCCAGCTGTGGAAGATAGAAATTTTGACACTTCGCTTAACTTCAGCGAAGAATCTGTTCATTTTGCTGGTTGGATTGGGGTTCTCTTGTGACGGCTCCTCGGCCTTGTTGGGAGTCTCTATGACAGACCCCGGCCGTGCAGCCTGAGATGATGTGTGAGATGGGACATCGCCAGCAGAGAGAGCCTTGAGAAGAGAGGAGTTGTTTCGGCTGGGACCTTGACGGTCACCGCCGTTGACAGAGCCAGAGCTGCCATTCTGTTTTTCGTTGAATTCTTTGTGTTCAGGGTTGCTGTGCTCATTCAAGCCCTGAGCAGTGGGCGCTGCGGGTTGTGCACCAGAGCGACTGCCATCTATATTGGGTGGATCAGGAGAAGCTTCCTTCATCGAACAGGTGTTTGACTCTCGAGAGTGTGATGCGAAGCCGTGAACTATCAGAAAAGATAGTCGTCTTGGGCGTGGTGAGTTTGGGTAAACGTCGAAGTTGTAAGTAGGAGATGTAGGAGGACCAAGAGCCAAGGCCTTGGCTTTAAGGCGGGAGCTAGATCTGGGATGACGCTGGTTATCCAGTGGCGTCTGTGGATATCAACCCACTTTTTATGTGGCTGGAACTGTCCAGGCCATGAGTCTGGCGTAATGATGGATATCTGATGTCGTCAAAATCGGTGAGGGAGCCGGCTATAGTTGTGCTTGATTGGTTCCATGTAGTGCTGTCAAAGGCAAAGTGAGGCGGTGCAGCCTCAGATTATCAGATACTATGGACTAGTTTGCCCCGTGATCCCTGAGCTCGTTCGCTTGTAAAGAATCTCGACGTTTCTAGTTCTATCGTGACTCATTTAGTTTTTCCTCGATAACAACAACGCTCAGCTATTACTAATGCCTAGCCTCTATTGCAAAGGCCAACAAAGAGACTCAGCTTCGCCAATGCTCAAAACAGGCCCAACAAACAGGCTACTGGAGACACGCTACGAATAGACAAGCTTATCGATGATATCCCCGTCTTTCTCGGATGTGAGGTGCCGGATTGAGGCTTGGCCTGACCACAACAAGAGCAAGGCCTCCCAAAGCGTAAATGATCGACAGGGACCACAATCAAGTTTCCTTGAATTGGACTTGGCTGTGGCTTGACTCAATACGTACCGTTGTCCCTTGAATGATAACAATGCTAACTCGACGTAAGAAAGGACAAGTCCATCCCATCAAGTGATGCAATAACGTCCGTCACCCAAAGACTGGCCACCCCCACAGACCGGCCACCTCACTTTTAACCCAGCCACCCAATTTATATATACTTTAAACAGTCACAACTCTACCAATTTAATTCCAATTAATTTCAAACTAACGCCAATCAATTCAGAATGCCTTCTTTTACTGAAAAAGATATGAGCGCCGCTCTCCAGATGGTTGC